GAGCGTCAAATCACTGATTACCTGTTGATAAGCATAGTTAATAGTTTATTATAAATACAACTAAAAGATAGTTATGTTATACCACAAAATGCTTTCTTACCGCTGCTGCCTTAGTCGTCAGAAACGAAAATGCCACTGAACCTCTAAAAATCATACGAACAAGCTTAATTTTACTGAGAATGTTAATTTTGGGACCCCAAAAAAGATGTAAAAAAGTTTACTCATACTCCCGGGCGTTCTCATAAAAACCTCCTCGTAGAGGGGGGTCGTAAAACATTTAGTGACTAAGAATCAGTACGCCGCAGAAAAAAAATTTTTCAAACCAGAAATGTAGCTGAGTTAACAGCTACAAAAAATGTAGCTTGTTTTTAACAAAAATGTTTATTAGCAGTTTTTCTGTAAAATGAAGCGTTCTCTCGGAAACAACGCTTGAAGCGACCGGCGATATTAAATGTCAGTTACACGTCTGAAAATTTTTTAAATAAGATTTGTATCAACTCGACGGTGATCATCTTATAAATTATAAATTAATCGCCTTATAAACAATGTGTTCTGGGAAAGGTTAGATGGAAGAAGGTCTGTAAGGCGGCCTAGAAAAAGGAGGAAAGATGCAGTCAAGGAAGATCTAGAGAAAATTGAAGTGCCACAATGGGAATTACTGGCACACGACCGACAAACATGGAAGGCAATCGTAAACGCGGCAAAGACTCACAAAGAGTTGTAGCGCTACTGATGATGATGATGATGATTATGATGATGATGATGATGACGGTGAATATTCGATATCTTTTTATCAGAGGGCCCTATCGCCAAAAATCAAAATGCTTTTTAAAGATGGAGAGTGCAGCTTTCGTAACATTTTTTTTTCCATTTTGCTGCAAATGAAGTCAGTTTCTATAAAGCTGTTAAATAAATTACATTTTATTTTAAAATTTTCGTATTTCGGAAATACGGTTCTCATGATACAATAAAATTTATTACTTTCATTCCATTGAATTTCATTCTGAGTTACTAAAAATCTATAACATAAAATTTCGAATTCTAAGTGCTTACAACACATATGAGGCAATTGTAGTATGCCTAAAAAATGCTGAATTTAAATTTGTCACATTACAACGTTTAAGATTCTTTTTTTTTTCGATTTCACAAGTACGTTTTTTTTTTTAACAAAACAAGCTCAGCTACAAATTTCTCTTAATGGCGTCTTTGTAAAACCATTTCTCGTGACGTGAGATCTTTTGTAATGTGAAAGTATTAATTCAGTGTTTCTTACGGCCGGTTTAAAAAAAAAAATGGAACTTATCTCCTAAGTAGGAGATAAGTACTCTTAACCTAAGGAAATTGAGGTTAAGAGATAACCAGCGTTTACCCTGAAATATAGGTTTCACAATATAAGGTCAACAGCTCGAGTTGTGCTTAACCTACAAAATTTTTAACCCAAAGTAAAAGCGGTGGTTTAGAGCTTGACCAGAATATCCTAACCTAATTTCGAATTTCGTTTTGTTGACATTGACAGAGTGTAGACAGATACGCCCATCTCAGAATTAGCGGTTGCCGAGATCAGTGAGGGCCTTACAATAAACGGTGAGCTACTTAATAACATAAGATATGCTGACGACACCGTTCTTCTGGCAGGAACACTAGAAGAACTGCAACACCTTGCTGAACAACTAAATATATATTGCAACGATTATGGACTAAAAATCAATTTGAAGAAAACCAAGTTCATGGTATTTACAAAAGCACAAAACATCAAAGTTAAGGTAGTACTAGATAATACAGAAATTGAACAAATATCTTCGTACAAATACCTTGGAGCATGGATCACAGAAGATACTGATCAGACAAAAGAAATAAGATGCCGCATTGAAATTGCGCGGTCAACTTTTAATAGAAACCTAGAGGCATTCGAAATGTGGTGTTACCGACGTATTTTGAAAATATCATGGACGGATCGTAAAACAAACGAACAAGTTCTCGAACAACTAGGCGAAGTTTTAAATTACATAAAAATCAGGAAATTGGAATACTTGGTACACATCATGAGAGGTGAAAAGTACGAACTACTAAGGAATATAATGCAGGGTAAAATCAAAGGTAGAAGAAGCGTAGGAAGACGTAAAATCTCGTGGCTACGCAATATCCGTGAATGGTTTGGATGCAGTTCAATTGAACTATTCAGGCGAGTAACCAATACAGTTATAATTGCCAGAATGATTTCCAATCTCCGATAGGAGTGGAACTTGAAGAAGAAGAACGAGACACATACGCAAATTATTAATTAATCAGATATGGATTGTAAATGCTTTTAGCAATGATGAGGAAGCTGGCAGACCAAGAATCATTAGGCACAGAACAAATCATTTTAAAGAACTAGACCATGAAATTTTTCCTGTCGGTGATTCTCAAAGAACACAGTAGAAAATATTTTGGAGCAAATTGAAGATACAATTTCTTATTTTTATATTTCATACATAAGGAAATAAGTAATTGTTCCTCTTCTGGCGAAAAGTTTGCCGATCTCTTGAATATTTTTGTGGATTCCATTTTATAATTTTACTTTTAACTTGGAAGAACAAACAACCACTACGTAGAAACAAACTACAACACAACAGAACTTGAAAATGAGAATAATATTTGTATATTGTTTTCGATCTAACATGACAAATGTGTGTGACAATATTCCATAAAAATCTGATTATTGTCAATAATTTCCTACCAAAAATAAAACGAAACCTAAGGTTAAGTGACCATAACCGAATCTGTGAATGTGAAACAGCATCTCTTTCTGTGAAACTAAAAGGTTACTTAACTCCTAGGGTTAACCACTGATTGTGAAACTTGCCGTTATGCATATTTCAAATGCCTCATATTGGTTGCCAAAACTCATAATCGAAATTTTATGTTCTAGTTTTAATTAAATTCCATAGCCACCAATCGATGGAAGTGATACATTTTATGATCTCATGAGAATTATAAAAAATGGCAACAATTGCGCAAGGTTTATTTATTTAACAGCTTTATATAAACAGACTTTATTTGCGGCAAATTGCAAAATTTAAATACGAAATCTGCACTCTTTGCCTTTGCACATTGACCTTTAAAAATAATTAAAATTTTTGTTGATAGGACACTGGTCAAAAAAAAATCGATTTTTTTCCGTTGAGTGATAAAAAAAGTGCTAATAAATATTTCTGTTCAAATCATGAATATGTTGCTTGTGTGAGTCCATTTCAAATAGGTTAAAGAAATAATAAATAAGACTTACTCACAATCAGTTAAACCAACCGATTGTAAGTCGTATTTATTATTTCTTTTACCTATTTCTAGTAAATCGATGTTTTCCGTCTCACCCCCTTCGCTGGATTCGCGTAGCCCAGATTTTACGTTAGATTTTGGTAATAACCAACTTTGAAAAGAAATAATTTCTGCAGCTAGAAGAGATTTGCTGGATCTGTTAAAACTGTTACTGTGATTGATAATGGAATGATTCAAAGAGAAGTGGCCAGGCAGCTTGGAGTTCGTCGTTGTATGGTCCAAAAAATATACCAACGATTCGTAGAAACTGGATCTCACGACCGTCGACCAGGATCAGGCGCGAGAAGAATCACGACAGCCAGAGAAGACTGTTCTTTACAACGCACTTTTTGCAAAATCGTTCCTTTACGGCTAGAGCAATCCAAAACCGTTTTCAAAATGCTTACCGGTGGACATTAAGCACTTCTTCAGTAAGGTTGAAGAAATTTAGTGTAAGGCAACGTGACCTTTGTTAACAGTAGCACATCAACAATGTCGACTTGAGTTTGCTAGAGACCATGAACATTGGGCGATAGAAGATTGGAAAAATGTTTTGTTTACTGATGAGTGCAGGATGGTTTTTTATGGCTCAGACGTTCGCATCAAAACGTAGAACACTTGGAAACGATATGCTGCTTGCGTTCGACGAGCACGTGTAGCTTGTGGATGAGGCTCTGTAATGTTTTGGCATGCATTTCATTCGATTTATTAATAGAGTAGTGTTGAATGCTCACCGAAATTCTAGACGAGCATGCAATGCCTTTTGCGGGGTTTCGGCTCAAAGCCAGATTCGAACCCGATTGAGCATGTTTGATACCAACTTAAACGAAGAGTACCAGAATACCTACTCCAATAAATCGTGAGCAGCTTCGATTGACGCTCATGGAAGAATGGGAGTTTTCCTCAAGACAACATTCATAATTTGATCAATTCAATGCCAATATTAAAATCACGACTTTATTGTCAGAAAAAATTTAAAATGTTAATTTTTAAAAATTTTCATTTAAAATCATCATTTTGGGAGAATTGTTTATTTTGACATTTGTTATTTAAGAAATGGTTGCATACAGCTTTAGAAAATATTCTTAAATATCACACAAGCATCTAAGGACAATTTCTTTCTTTCTTTCAATATGCCAAAAATTTTAGGTGGCTTCTTTCTTATGACGCGCAGTGTATTATATAGCCGCGATGTCAATTCACCCTTATGGACACAAATTCTCAGGTCTAACACTTCATATTCAGTATACTTATGTATACAAGGTTGAACCATGGAGATTCCATGTCAAGAAACTGAAGCCTACTTCGGAATTTTTGAATTGACAAAAATTAACTCGGTGTTTTTGGTGGGTAAAAAATTACTTTGCAGTTTGTCATAGAAAGCATTTTTCCTGCTTTTGGTTTATAGGTTTTCTGTACATACATACTATTTATAACTGTTTCGTTACCGCATCGCCATTAATAATGTCTGCCGCATCCGTCTTCGGTACGTTAAGTGAGTATATATCCTGCAAATGTTTTTCGCATTTATCTCTCTCAGATATTTCGACAGCAAAATATCTAACAAGCAAAGATGCAGCAAAGCATTGTTTCACTTTTCTCATTTATAAATATTCTCAGCTGCCTGTTTTATTTTATCTAATAAAGGTATATCGTGAAAATAGTACATCTCAACATAATTATCTTAATTTGTCTCTTTTTAGGACGTGTCCTAGGAGACGACGAGACAGACTCTGTATCTCGGGAAGCATCTCCGTGTGAGGAAACCTGCGACAATGCGTCAACAGCTTCGCAGGATTCTTCATCAAGAATGGCCATGGACTCGAATAGTGGTAATAGTAGTGGTATAAGTAAAGTTGACGTTAAAGTGACAGTTGCAACACAGACTGGCCAAGAGGCGCCAGATTTGGCCTTTAATCCAGAGAAAATGACAGTCGACACTCACTGCTATGAGTGTAAAGTGCGCTACAGGGACCCGAAACCACAAGATTTGGTTATGTACTTACACGCGTGGAAATACAAGGTAAGACAATAAATGTATCGTTTATTCGTATTTCTTTACACCAAATATATATTTTTCTATATTTAATGAAAGAAGTTCATCCATACGTTAGTAAGTTTCATGCTGAAAGATTTTTAATAGTTTTTAATGGACGATTAATTCAATTCTTGACAAAAATTAAAAAAAAACTGAGATTGTGTGTGACTCATGCTACAAAACGTTGTAAATGTATGAATTATTACTTGAAACGATATTTAGTACATATTTGTATCTTTAACAAATTTATTTCAAATCTTTTATAAAAGTTATATAATAAAATGCCCAAACGGGCTATCACAAATATATTACAAAACGTTTTCGGATTGTTACATCCATCATCAGGGTAAACGAGGTAACATGCTATGAGCCACCAAAATATATGGGTCAAAACCCTTTAAATGATATAAATTTACAGTTGTTTTACATTATATGTGGTTACAAATTATGATATTTAAGTTACCGTTGGAATTGGTAACATGGTGACGTATGACCCTACATAGGTAAAATGGTCCTGGACAGGACCATTTTACCTTGAAAACCAGCAGAAAACAAATGCCAACTCAGAAGTGATTCCCGAAATAAGCCACGAAGAAATAGAAAGAGCAGTAAAAGAAATAAAAAGGTATAAAGCTCCTGGAAGCGTAAAAGGAAGGCGGAGAAGAAGCCATCTTTTTCTTCTTTCAGTGCCCTGTCCGATTATCGAACGTTGGCGATCATATTGGCAATCATAACCTTATTCACGGCGGCTCTAAATAAATTAGCGGTGGTTTCTTGATACCATTCTCAGAGATTTCGTAGCCAGGATGTTCTTCGTCTGCCTGGGCCTCTCCTTCCGTCGATCTTACCCTGTATTATGAGGTGTAGAAGGTTATACCTCTCTGGATGTCTCATTACGTGACCGAAGTATTGTAACTTCCGAATTTTTATCGTTTTCATTATTTCTGTGCTCTTTTTCATTCGATGTAAAACTATTTCATTTCTTATTCGATCAACCCAACTTATCAGCAATACTCGTCGCTAAATCCACATCTCAAAGGTCTCTCATTTTTTCATTAATGTCTCTGTAAGGGTCCAGCTCTCCATACCATACAGCAATGTGGAGAATATGTAGCAGCGTATTAATCTGATTTTAAGGTTTTACGGAATATCTCTATTAATTAGAATTTTCTTTAATTTATAGAAGGCGGCTCTGGCTTTTTCAATGCGTATTCTTATTTCTTTATTTATATATAAATAAAGAAATAAAGAAGCCATCACATATCTAAAAATACTATTTAATAAATGTCTATTCGAATGCAACATACCCGAACAATGGAATACTGCTAAAACAATACTAATACACAAAAAGGAAGGCACCACAGACCTGAAAAATTATCGACCAATTTCACTTCTTTTACAACTTTACAAAACCTTAACGAAGATTATTACAAACAAGTTACCAATTAAATTTGACGGATGCAGCACCTGTGACCATCTATATACTTTACTTATACTTATACTATATACTGAAAATCCTAATAGAAAAGACTAACGAATACAATCTCCCACTATGTCTGGCTTTTATAGATTATGAAAAAGCTTTTGATATCATAGAACTATTTGCAATAGAAGAAGCATTAGTCAACAACCGGATCGACTCCAGGTACAGAATATTAATACATAATATTTACGAACGAGCTGAAATGATATTGACGTTCCATTACATTGGTAATGGAATCGAAACAAGACCAGTAAAAATCAACTGAGGCGTAAGACAAGGAGAACCTCCAAAATTGTTTACAGCTATCCTAGAAGATACCTTGAAGTCAGTAGACTGGGAAAATAAGGGAACCCCTGGTAACGGAATATACTTCAATCATCTTAGATGCGCATATGCTGTAGTACTAATAACCGACACGTTGAATGCACTGAATACGATGATTGAGGAACTACACACAGAATCCCTAAAAAAAAATGAAAATTAATTTCAGCAAATCAAACTAATGTCAAACAAGGATGACCAACCTATGATAAAAATCCAAGGAACAGAGATAGAACACGTAGATGAATATACATATGTGGGTCAAAATCTCAAGTTAAGCAAAGAAAATGAGACTACTGAAATAAGCTGACGTGTGAAAATGGGATGGGCAGCATTCGGAAGACTCTTATACGTACTTAAAAATAAAAATATACATCAAAGACTGCGAACCAAAGTGTCTAATTCATGTATCCTACCTATATACCTACAGGTAGTACTGGAATGTAAATCCAAAAGGAATTTTAATTTAAATGATTGAATAAATTTTTATGGCCAAAAATATTTGTTGCTCTCGAAAACGCTGTGTTTAATTTTAAACAGATTTTTCCAAATTAAATAATTTCTAATTTACTTTGCAAATTCATTTATATTAAAATTGAGGTTTTTTTGATTAAAAAAAATTATTGATTAAAAAACTGGTTACTTCAAAAATGTGTCATTTTGTATATGCGCGCGCAATAGGTAACCCAAATAAGCAGTTGCAAAAAGGGCTATAACTCAGAAACCATTAAGGGTATAAAAAAAATTCATGCCTCAAAGTCATACTGATAATAGTTTTCTCAAAAATTTTTTTTTCGTAATTTTGCGAAATACTGTCCAACATATGAAAACTCTTTGCAAAATTAAGGTACCTTAGGAATATAAATTTTTTTTATTAATAAGAGACTTTCATCTACCTATTCCTAAATTTTCGTCCTGAATTTTTTTTGTCATAGTGTTCTTTTATCAGGGTATAATAATCCAGATTTGAATATCACCAGCGTATAAGATTTTGTAGAAAAGGAAATAAAAGTCTTTTTACTCAATTGATCAATAATCACCTTAAGTAACTCAATATTTAACAAACTGAGGTGTTAAGATGCATGAATCTCGCCTGACCGTTCGATATTATGTCTGCTTACGTTCTCAGAAATGGATAACTAAACAATGTCACTATTTTAAAATATATGGAAAACTACCGATTCATCAGAGATTGTATCCATATTGTTGATACGAAAAATGTTAATTTAAACCTAGAACTGAAAAATTACAATATTCATTACAGCGAAATCTCTAGCGAAAATGACAATACTCACTCGAGCCAAAAGGATTTAAATCTAATTTAAAGTCGAATCTTCAGTCAAAATTATGTAGAAATCTCTAGCTTTTGTAGATTATTAACGACCCAACATAGTAGCCATAAATAAAATAAAATGTCTTTGTATGTCGAGACTAATGAAGAGGACATTATAACAGGCATGACAAAAGAGCGTTGAAAATGTATTTAATGATAGAAGGTAAAACTTGCGAGAGGGTAATTTGTTAGGACTTGGTTTTTATCACAGAAACTTAATTTCTAGAGTGCAAATTTCGTGCATGTTACATTGATGAAAATAATGAAGTGGGTCTTTTTGTTCTTATTGTTTTCCTAGTTTTGCGGTAGTTGTACTCATTTATTTGAATCATTGTCATATATCATAATTTATCTTTTTATATCTGTACTTTATTTCTAAAGCAATTATAATCTTAAAACAGATATATCAACTTACAGAATAAGCTTACACAGTTGATTCCCATGAATTATGGAATCCATAGACGCTACATAATTTAAAAGTTTTATAATGTAATATTTATTTAATGAGTGTGAATGTATTAAATGTTTTGGCAGAGTCGTCATTTATAGATAGATGGTTTGTGGTGGTATGGGTTGCTAGGGTCATAATGCTGGAGCTACTGTATTAGTTAACCCTTTGGGGCCCACATTGTTTTTTTTTTTCATTTTTTCTAAAATAAAAGAAATTTTGGAAACTTAATTAAATCAACACTTTTTCTGAAAATTTAAATCTTATTGTAACAAATATTACAAAAAAAGTATGGTTTCGCCCTAAAACCACTGAGACACAAAAGTCACTTATTCAAGGGTATGGAATTTTTGGAAACAATTTTTATCGTCAGATAAACACAGACCAATATCGCATGTTTGACAAAACCAACGAGTCCGATGAACCTATGCGGTTGTACTGCATAACCCACATCTTCTTGATGTTCCATGAAGTGGCAAATGAACCACTCTATCGTATCTAACTTCAATAGGTACATATTTTGTTAAACTATTTACTGCATGTTTTGGTCCCGTTTTTGGGGTATCTGTATTAGCACCAATAAGACTTGTAACAATGGCTAATCGGAATTCTTTCAATGATAATGCACGTCCTGGACCTCTACATTTAAATATGATAAACCCATTAGTTACTGCTAAATCAAGTAAATAGAAAAAAATGCAATCCCACCATTTCTTACTTTTTCTATTTATTTTGTATAGACTCTTCAGCATATCCGCCTTATCCACCCCACCCATATATTTGTTGTAGTCTTTTACAACTGTTGGTGCAGCCACGGTTTCTTTGGAACCATTCTTCTGTCTTCTTTCGACAGATACCATTTCAGTAGGATCATGAAAGTTGGACAAAAAATTGATCCCGTTCTTATCTTTCCACCTAGTGAAGACCATTTTATTGGACCTGCCACCAATCTGTTTCTCCTCAGTCCATCTGTTTTTCGTCTACAATATCTTGTGCCAATTAGCACGATCAGCTCTTACTGTACCACATGCGTAAATATTGTTCTCCAATAAATATTTCATAAGAGATATCTCCGAAAATTAGTTGTCAAAATGAACCTTGTTTTCCTTGCCAACAAGAGTTTTTGTGAGATCTTTCACAACACGTTCATCTAAACTAGTTTACACCTTTGCGTTATCTACATTGCCAGTGTATATTTGAAACTCGTTTAACAAAACCAGTCACAGCATCTGCACGTACCCAAAGTTGTACCCTCTTGTTATGGATTTTTGGGTATATACTGCTTAAATGTGGAACGGCCCTTGAAACGAATCATACTCTCATCGATAGACTGATGCTCTCCTGGCTTGTAGTACTGCTGAAAAGATTCCAGTACCTCTTCTAAAATCGGACGTATTTTATAATGTTTATCGTAGTTCAGAGTTCCTTTATCAGGCTGAAGGGAATTATCATTCAAATGTATATGCTCAAGTAACCAACTAAACCTGTTTCTGTTTATTATTTTCGAAATATCTCTCAAAATATCCTGTGAAGACCAGTAATCTCTGTAGCTAGGTGATGATTTAATACCGATAAGCATATTTATAGCTAAAAATTGTAAAATTTCATGTTTAGATGTTGTCTTGAACTGTTTGCCTTCTTGGGTCTCATACAAATTCGTTTGAAACATTAAATGATGGATATTTTTAATTATCAACAGACGGTCCATGTTTTATATTGAAAGGAATAATAGTATTTGGAATAAATTGTTTATTCCAAATAAGACCTGGATTTTTTGATATGTTTTTCTTTTCTGCCACTTTAGATGTTCTCTTAGTATTTTTAGCCGGTTCATTTATCGTCCGTTTTTCTTTCGGATTACTCTTTTTTATTAGCTTTATAGGCATTTTGCGTGTTTTATCAGCATCGTCACTGTCCTCTTCATCTTCGCTACTTTCAATTGTTCTCAAAATCTTTGGAGAAACAAGTGTAACACTCATACATTTATTTTCGTTTTTGATTGATGAACATTCTTCTAATTTAGTGCTTGTAATATGGTGATGACTGATAGAATTTGTATTTTTTTGTGGAGATGTTTTTAGAATAGTATCTCGGTGAACCACTGGTAAAATCCTCGGAGTCACTATCGGAACCGGAACTGAGAATTGACTCCTTATCTGAGGGTATTTCTGCTAATAAATCCTCCAAATCGTCTTCGGACAACATTTCTAGTTGCTTATAACTCCACTTGTTACGTTGCATGGTACCTGAAATAAAAAAGAAACTGTAGTTGTCAACTGGTTTCACTGTGAAACTGTATTTTTGGTGTGACCAAAAATGATACAAAAACACATTTTTGGTTACATATTATATTCTAAAGGGTGAGTACAAGTCTATGTCAACATGATAAATAACTTACCCGTAATTATTTTTGCTATTTTTTATTAAAAACAATCGAAATTGTAAGAACTCCATAACATATGACTTACGTGTTGTTTTTTTAATTCTTGGAAATGGACTTTGCTGGATAGAGGATTACTGAATTTTAGCTTAGTTAGAATTGAAATATTTGTACAGGGTCCACGGAATTCGTAACATCCTTCTCTAACCGAACATTTCAGTGGCGTCCATCTTTCTTCTTTTCGCTTCCGGTCGTAGTGTGGAAGATTCACATCCGTATTGGGAATATTAAGCAGTTGATCATCCTCATTTTTATAGTTTTCATAGCAAAGGTCTAAACACAGGGTTGGTCAATGCAGAAAAAACGTAATAAGTGATACCTTCTTATCTGAATTTTCACTTGACTTTAATATGACCACCCGACAAACCTCAAATACAATACATCATAAAATGCAAATGAGCAAAACCCTAAGGGATTAAGCAATAACAGAACGTCTTAGTGACGGAGAACATAAAATTATATATTATATATAAAATTATATAATTATATATAAAAAGCTAAAATGTCAGTATTACGAACCCACATTAATATTTATAAATATACTAAATATTGGTTTAGGATATTTCCTTACATTTTAATAATAAATATATTTCGGGTACTAGCGTCATATAAACTTATAATTAGTAATATAAATATATAATGACAACCTAAATACAAAAGTTGTCTTTATTTCCCACAGAAGTAATAATTGGTTTCCTCTATTAACATATCGAGTTTTCAGAATTTTTCTTCCTCTGCTATGACACGTCTTATAGCCTTTTGCCAATTGTCAGATGAAATTTTAGATGTGAAGTCAGATATTCTTCTTCTTCTTCTTAAAGTGCCCTCTCCTCAATGGAGGTTGGCTACTACAATTTTAAACTCTTCTCTATCTTCAGCTGTTTTTATTAGCTGTTCAAAATTTAGCCCTGTCCATTGTCGGATGTTTCTGAGCCATGATAGTCTTTTCCTTCCTAGGCCTCTCTTTCCCTCGATTTTTCCTTTCACTATAAGTTGAGCATATTGGTACTTATTATTTCTCAGTATGTGGCCTAGGTATGATGTTTTTCTTACTTTAACTGTGTTAAAAAGTTCTCTTTCCTTGCCTATTCCATGCAGCACTTCTTCGTTTGAGGTATGCGATGTCCATGAAATTTTGAGTATTCTCCGGTAGATCCACATTTCAAAGGCCTCCAATTTATTTACGGTTGATGTTTTAAGGGTCCACGTTTCCACTGCATATAGAAGAGTCGACCAGACCTAGCATTTTGATAAACGTAGTCGAATTTCGAGTTTTATTCGAGAATCACAAAGCAGTTTTTTTTATTTTTTCGAAAGATTTTCTAGCCTGTTCTATTCTCGATCTTATTTCTTGATCAGGATTTAGGCTGCTATCGATCCAACATCCCAGGTACTTCAATCTATTGACCTGTTCTAAGATGTGCCCATTTATTGTGCAAGGTTGAGGTACGTTTTGGTTTTTTCGGATTGACATCACTTTGGTTTTTTTAATGTTTATTTTCATACCAAATTGCTCACAGGTCGAGTTGGTCTTGTCGATGAGTCGTTGTAGACCTGAGTCGGAATCCGCAATTAACACTGTATCGTCGGCGTATCTGATACTGTTGATATTTACGCCATTTACCTTGACTCCATCCTTGGAATCCTCCAATGCTTCTTTAAATAGAAACTCGGAGTAAAGATTAAACAGCAGAGGCGACAGAACACATCCCTGTCTAACTCCCCTCCTAATTTCTACTTCTGCGGATGTGGAACCTTCGATCCTAACTCTGGCTTTTTGGTTCCAGTACAAGTTTTTTAAGAGTTTGATGTCTTTTCCATCTAAACCGACTTCTTGAAAACGTTCTAATAGTAGGTCGTGTCTTACTCTATCAAATGCTTTTTCGAAGTCTATAAAGCATATAAATATATCTTTCTGTTGGTCGTAGCATTTTTGGGCGAGAACTAGTAAACTGAACAGGGCTTCTCTCGTTCCCATGCCGGCTCTGAATCCAAACTGATCGTCTCCGATGATTGTTTCGCACTTTCTATAGATACGATTATGTACGATTTTTAGTAGGACTTTTACTGCATGACTCATAAGGCTTATCAGACGGAACTCATTGCAGTGTTGTGGGTTAGGCTTTTTTGGTAGTGGGATGAATATTGACTCCAGCCAATCTTGGGGTATTTTACCTGTATCATAAATGCGATTGAATAAAAGGACAAATAATTCGATATTTTCTTCGCTGATTAATTTGAACGTTTCTGGGTATATTCCGTCTGGACCTGGGCTTTTATTTGTTTTGAGATGATTAATTGCATTTATGATTTCAGATTTCAGATTTGTTGGCCCTTCGTTGTTATTTTCCAATCTTGGTTCTTCTCGTATGTCGTGAACGTCAGATATTAGTTGACGAAAATCTTGAAGTTTAGATGTTGTATTATCTTTTTGACATATCGCTGTATTTGAGCTCAGATTAGTTCTATGGGGTTAAGTTAACAGTGATAAGGTGATAATCGCACTTTAACTCTGATGACTGATGGTGTCACCACATCCCAAAAGGGATTAGAACTGAGGAGGAGAATATTTATTAAATTTTGGTATACATTGTTTACATAGCTGCAATAACTTTTGGTACCTGCGGCTACTATTTCTTTGGTTATTAGTCAATCCAAAAGTTCTTACTTTCTCCATTTAGTGTTAGATAACGGTTTCTTTAATCTTGAACGGTAACTGGCATTGTCCATGACTATTACAGAATTTGTCGGTAATAAATTTATCATTTGACTGAAATATTCATCAAAACCATCAGCACTCATTTATCCATGACAGTTGTTCGTAGAATTTGAAATAAAATTTAGCAAGCCTCCATCAACAAATCCTGTATCTCCGCCAATATGAGTGATAATTTAAACGGCGACCTTTACCATTTGGAAATTTTAAGCCCGTAGACAATTTCTATTGTAACTCTTTGTGAGGCCGTAAGGTTACTAAAGGATTAGTTCGAAATGGTACAAAGGGCTCAGATTTGAAGCCCCTCCTGATTATAGCAGATATAGGAGCTCAAAGCAAGCAGGGCGCCAGAAATGCCGAAGCCTATGTCTTTATATGCCTAGTTCGTATGATAGGGGTGATATACAATGGGCCCTTATTAGTAGGTCTAAGTGTCTGAAGGGCTTATAAATGGGTGCTACCCATTTAATCCGCCTTTGTTGGTATATTCTTGTTCTCGACTTCTTTTTTTAGTATTGACAACCAAAGCCTGCTTCATTTGCTGATGATTTTGCTACACATTTTTCTTAATTAAATAAATCTTTGATTTTTCTCTTTTTTCTTGTCTGTTTCTATTATAATTATTGATGCATTTTTCTATTGTACCTTGTGCTCTTTATCACAGGCATGTTTGCATATTTGAGATTTCTCGTAGTCTCTGTTTCTGATGTATATTTCATGCTCGTTTATTCTGACACTTGGTGGTCTTTCGGTTTGTCCTACGTAGAAACTAAATATTTATATTAAAATAATTATAATGGGAAGGATGAGCCCACTAATTACATTTAGAAAACAATTTGTTAGAAGAATTTGGAGCTTAGGTGGTATGATAGGACTACAAATAAGAAAACTATAATGAATAGCGGAACAGTAAGAAATACGTAGAGTTATCGAAAAGAAACTGCGGCTTTAAGAGCTAAAGAACCATGAGCATGATTTGAATAAAAATATAAATTTCAATAGTTTTCTTGTTTACATTACCAGTTAAAAATAGTCACCAATAAATCTATAATATAATTAAATAAAACATACCAAAGAGGGATTTGACCTTCTTTGTTGTATATTCATCTCCATTTACAGCATTTCTGAAACAAAATTCTGTAGAATTAATGTTTTGTTTCGTTTGTCTAATGTGTATCTTATTTTTTAGGGCCCTGGTTGGGAATACGTAACTGAATTGCCCGATTGGGCGCAAGTCGACTGGAGAGAACCCGACGCACCGCAGTGATGATTCCTCACTAAGCTCTACATTCTACCCTAAAGTAATTTTCGTAACTTTATCTATACAGGCTGTAACAAAAATTAGAAAAAGAGGTGTCCAAAAAAAGTGGCAGGGTCCAATTCACCGCTAAGGATCGGTCGGTTAAGAAAAAATTATTTGCTGTAGACGTTTCGAATAATTTTCGGTATTTCAGTGCTTCATGGAAAAACACAAAAATATATAAAATATGTAACTTTTTTAAATATTTAAAATATACAGGATGCTACCTCATATGTATCGTTTAATTATTATTTTGTTTATTTAATGTATAAATATGGAACAACAAGCGGGATATGATCAGTTTTTCTCTGGTTAGAAACAATCCACCTGTAGTGAAGTGGACATTGTTAGTTATTTAAAAATCAAGGAAACACATTGGTTTCGTTAATTATAAATTGTAAAAAAAATGAAAAAAATGGTTTTCCAGTTCTAAAAGTATTATTAGAATTTACGCTTACGGAATAAAATCTCATGACTTCAGAATAAATAGATTTTAAAACTAGGGATAGTAGGTACTACTCAGACTTAATACAGTGCAAGCAAAAATAGAAGATACACAAGAAATTTGCAAGAAAATACCATTTTATTAACATCCAAATGAAGCTTATATTATGCCATTTACAATCTACAAAAGTAATGGAATCAACGTAATGACCATCACGTTGGATACAGTTTTCGATCCTCTTTATGAAATCCTCCATAACACGCTCTAACATCGCTCGATCAATAGTATCAACTAGATCAAATACGAGGCTTGCTAGCATATATATGACTTTTTAAATACACCCATAGAAAAAAATCACGAATTGACAGGTCTGGAGATCTTGGAGATCACGGCAAATCTCCGAAACGTGAAATGAGTTGTCCTGGAAACAGGTTACGTAGAATATTCATTGAAGCATGGGCAGTATGTGCCGTGGCACCATCCTACTGAAACGACACATTTCTTGGGTTTATCCCTTTTCTGCGTAGTTCTGTAACCAAAAAAAAATTGGATCATGTCAACGTAGCGAATATAATGAACGGTGAGGGAATTGCCAGCCTCTTCAAAAAAATATGGCTCAATAGTGCCAGTCGAACCAATGGCATCATGGAGATAGCGTGAGTTTTCAGGAGCCCAGTACCTGTAATTCTGTTTATTACCGGCTTCTGAGCTTCGTTGCTTATTAGAAGATGCTGACCTAAGTTATCCTCCAAAAAAACTTGCATTCTCGTAGCAAAATCCTCACGTTGTTTAACATCTTTAAAAACATCCGGCTCCCGATTGTCACTCAGCATTTCCTCATCGGAATCTCCAGTCTTTTTAGAAACAAATACATTTAAACCTCATTCAATAAATTCTAAGTCGCACCAATATGGCTAATAATAATGCGTTTTCCCTTTCAAGGCGAGACTTTTATACCTGGAACCTTCTTCTTCTTCTAGTTCCATGACCGTTATCGATCGTTGGATATCATGTTGGCTACAATATTCGCTATCGTGACTTTATTGACAGCAGCTCTAAATAACGATGTAGTTGATTTTCCATACCATTGCCTTAGATTTTTCAGCCATGATGTTCTTCTTCTACCAGGACCACGATTACCTTGGATCTTTCACTGAATGATCAGATGTAAAAGATCATATTTTTCAGGGTGTCTCATAATGTGACCGAAGTATTCCAGGAACCTAAAGGAGCGTATTTTGAACATGTCACAAGTCAGGCAAGTGTCCTTCTTCGAGCTTTTAAATTTAAGGTTAATCTTTAAGATAAATATGTATTAGTAAGTAGCTAGTATTGGTTTACTGGTACATCTATCTGTCTTTCATTTTTTTTTTTTTTCGTTTCATCATGTATTACCAACAAATTGAAAATTGAACTATTCGGTATATTCTGTTTGTGGCTTAAAAAAGAGCTAACAGATGACACCACAATTTACTTAAAGGTTTCATAATTTTAACTTTTCGGGAAAATAGTTGTTCACAAATATACAAGATGTGGTAACTCAATTTTAGAAAAAATGTGGCTTGACTCATTATTGCATAACACTATCCAAATATCATTCGGTGAAACGTATGTGTTCAGTGAAACGAACTGAAACTTATAGACCCCTTATTGGCTAAAATTATAAAGTAGTTCGATTGTTACGGTAAGTATTATTATGAAATGATGCAAAAATTTAATAAAACTGCGATAAATTTGTATCAACAATTTTCAAAATGACATAGTATGATTTTACCACAGTAGGAACAAATTATGTATTATGGGTTAAAGAAGACTATTCAAATCATGTTAATGGACACCCTAAAACCTTTAGAAATGTCAAAAGTATTTATAGGTTAACATTCTTATCAGTTTATTACTATCCTGAGTTATTATAAGCGTGTGATCTAAATTGAATTAAATCATTATGAATTTAACAATAGTCGTATTAAATAAAACCTTTTTGACTATTAGAAACGAATGAAAATGATCATCCTGTATATTTTTAATTCACTTTTTCGCACAAGTCAATAACTTTACAACATATATCACAAAATATTTCTCCTTTTCGCAAAAGTAAATATAAAATAAAATTTGTATTTTTATAAAGAAACCAATAACGGTCATATCAAAGAGTAAATAATGCAGAATAATTCTGAATTTTCTTGAAACGAGTACTGAAATACAATCGTGCCTTGATTATGTGAGGTGATATTATTTTGCAGATTTTCCCTATTTCTACAAAAAATATTATATCGATTTGAAATTCATATCAACTTTCAAAGGACCCTAGCTTATATTTGTGTAATTTTAAGTTACATGGCAAGATATTTTAGCGGAAGTTCTCAAAAGAAGAATAACCTTGAAAATATAACAGTAAACTCTTAGTTTACCAACATTACAGTTAAATTCAGTCAATAATATTTAAAACTTTATTACGATCACAGGAATAGGTAAATAAGCATATTAAAAAGCAGATAAAAACAAATTATCCTTGCCGATCTTCCAATAACGATCTTCCAATAAGTGATTAATTTGATCACCTTCCATGGGTTTCTGTATTTCGCAAATAATCAAACTGGGTTATATTGTTAACTACACTGGTACTCGTTATTTAATTTTATTTTGCACAGGAAATAACTACATTGGATTTATGCACGTCACATGAATTCATAAACATTTCACTGAATGGTGGGGGCTGTAGTACCACAGAAAAATTCATCTGTTGACTATTCAAACAGTTTCGTTTCGATTCATTCCGTCATGTTCCAATCGGTTAAAGTTATGTGCAAACAATTATATGGTGATGGTTACTCCTTTCTATTTCAAAATATCCTTGAAATGAAATGCATGTCAAAGGAATGGAAATCAAGTATAACGATCCCTATATCCAAAAAGGGGGACCATAATTGACCCATCTTACTATCGAACTATTACGTTACTTGACACCAGTTTTAAATTATTGACTAAGATAGTTGCTGAGAAAATAATTGAAATGTATCAAATATACGAAGAGCAACAGGGGTTGCTGTGTAACAAATCCACTGTAGATGCCATATTCATAAGACAAATATAAGAGAAAGCAGTAGAATTGAATACACTTGCATTCATGTGTTTCATCGACCTTACTAAAGCTTTCGATTGTATTAGACTACAAGATCTGATTTAACTTTTACACAAAGAGACTAACAGCCACTATAACACAGATAATAAAGGATATTAACTCTGATCACAAAACAAGAATGAGAGTATACGGTGGGTTTTTCGCGAAGAACAGTGTAGAGCGTTGACTAATCAGTGTAGTACGGAACTTACAAGAGAACAGGCTGCAGCTCTTTTGCTTCTTAGTGACAATGTTAACGAAGTTAAAACCAATCAAAACGGAACACATCCAATTAATAAGTAAGTTAAGACATATTTACGTGGATTTAAATTGCGGTAAACGTCTGAATCAGAATATCAGCTCACGGGTTGTCAGCGCGCAGGTGCATTTTGGCCAGGCCCGCTTATAAAGAAGAATTATTCGCACACTGACTCGGCGCCGGTTGTCAAACTCCGAAAACCCTCGTTCATCTTGAACGTACCCTAACATCGAGATTCTAATTATCCAATACGAAGAATTACTGAGTTTGAATGTTCCTGAAAGGTGAAGGAGAGCAAGACCAATTAAAATCAAGTGTGAGGTGCTTACGCAGTACTCTGTCCTGCCAATTACCACGCAGTATTCCGTCAGGTTATTCACAAATAAAAGAAAATGGCCATTATGCCTTCTTGAGTACTTCTGAGGTTGTTGTGCAAAATATCTGAGCATCTTAATGTTTATCATCACATAAAACGAACGATTAAAAACAAATGTCCCTTACTAGATCTCTGATACAAAATGCCTACAGCTTTGCATATAGATATTCCAGCTTTTAAGCAATCGAATTTAAGAAAAGGCAATATGTATGTACATTTTTGTTCATTTGTTTTTATGTACAGCTTAAAAGAATATCTTGGCCGAAAACCATGGCGTTTGCTGGTAATAACTTTTATAGATTCAAACAGAACATAATTTGATTATAAGTAGTTCTTTCAAAAGTTTTAACAGACACTTAGAATTGTGATACCTCTTTAATTATTCTTTTTTGTAAACGTAAACTGCCTTGTACCTTCTGAATATGTACCATGTGATACAGCTAGTGCTTATTGTTGCTAATGATGGGGTACACTCATAATAAACAGCATCCAATTCGTCTTTTATTCTACTTGGCTTTTCCGTGTTAAATGTAGGTTTTTATTTAAAAAAAAAACACAAAACTTGTTGACTTCGTTGACTATTAAACTCGATCTAATTCATATTTTGCTTAAATTTTGGCAGATGTCATGCATTGGATGACATACATCAAAACTGGGAGCAATTAGTTCTTACATAACACCATTTATTGGAGCTAAGGAATTCAAGAGCACGACACAGACTACATGAAATTACAAATAATGATCAACTCTTCCAATATTTCACAAG